CCCCCCCCCCACCCAGAAGTAACTTTTCTTAAGAGCTCACTGGAAAGGAGGCTACGGCAGTGGTTCTCAATCTTTTTAATGCTGCGACCCCCAACCGGTCGTAAGTCGAGGACTAAACCGGTCATAAGTCGAGGACTAAACCGGTCGTAAGTCGAGGACTTTCCCTGCCCGGGAGCGCCGCACATGCGTGGTTCCGCCCCCTGTGCCGGCCGAGGCGTAGCTGGCAAGCGGCAGAGACGGAGCAGGCCGACCACCAGCTGGCCCAGCTCAAGGGAGGTAAGGCACCCGCCGGAAAAGGGGAAAAAAATGGCGGACAGCCTTGCTTGGCGACCCCCGTGAAATGGTCGATCGACCCCAAATGAGGTCGTGACCCATAGGTTGAGAACCGCTGGGCTACGGAAAGAACGCACATCTTCAAATCTGCTCCTTGATCGATAAGTCGATCCCTTTTAATGACCTTCCAAGCCGCACCCGGGGCATGCTGTACAGAGCTGTTAGAATGATATAATGAACTCCCTAAGTGTAACAGTCTAGGGTTTGTTTGTTTTTAATCGTACATTTAAATAATATATATATTTCTCTATTTGCCTCTCGGCGGGATCGCAAAACCCCAGCCAAGAGAACTTCTGTGCAATTGATTTAAAGAAAGAAAAAAAAAAAGCTGTTTAATTGTATCATAATATATGGCCCTGGCTATGCGTTTTTAAAATGCAAGACTATATCAAAAAGTCTCTTGACCATTTCTAAATCCAATCTTGCCTCGTTTTCAACCCCGAATACACCAACTGTCCTCGTCCAGCTGCTTTTTGTTCACCGGGTAATTCTGGATAACTCACTGTTTCTCTCTTATTCTTGCCTATTTCAGAATTTTTGTTAACCCAGAAAAAAGAGAGCGTTTGAAAAAGTAAAATCTAATTATTATTATTGTTTTAAAAAAAAAATCAGGATGACTTGAATTGTGTATGTAATGCATATACATATAATTATTTTTTTGGGGGGTGTTTCTTGCCACATCTACCCCTTAAAAGTTATACTGCTGCAGTGTGAGCTAAAGAAATCACTTATTCGTATGGGAAACGCGTCTATGCCAGTGTACCCCACCCATAAATGCATGTGGACACTGAGATAATTATAAAAATAAAAAGGCAGGCATGCATCGATGTATTTTCAGAGAATCCTATAAGGAATGTAAGTCTTCTGCCCATCACCATTTCCTGACCAGAGAGGAGAAAGGAATTAAGCTCTGAACGTTGTGATCAAGTTTACTTTCTGCTTTGGAAAGAAAAAAAGGCTGCTTCTCAAATATCAGCGTTGGCCTTCAGACCACCTGTATATATAATCTCCAGCAATTCAGCTGATATTTCATCGGAAAAAAAGGAAAAAAAGCGCATTCGTTGGGCGGGCGATGGTTCTAGTCCTCAAACCCCAGTCCTTTCTCATCCTCGGGAGGGTTTATGTAGGACTCAACGACGCTGTAGACAAAAGGGTAGAGTTTGACTTCTGGCCTCGAAGTAGAACAACACCGGCATTCCTCGTGGTAGTACCGAAGCAACAGCTTGTAAACGTCTCCTGGAAAACGGGAAGGAGGACAGAGAGGAAGGAACAAAAAGTTATATACAGGCAAGTCCTCGGCTTATGACCACAAATGAGACCCCACATTTCTGTTATTAAGTGAATTTTACAGCCCCATTTTACAAACTTTGTTGCCGCAGTGGTTAAGGGACTCACCCCAGTTGATTCAGTTCACCGTTTTGGTTCACTGAGAGCCAGCTTGGTCTAGACCAGGGGTAGGCCACCTTGGCTCTTTTATGACTGGTGGACTTCAACTCCCAGAATTCCTGAGCCAACATGGCTCAGCTTGGAAACCTCTCCCTCTCCCCTCAGCATGGCTGGCTCAGGAATTCTGGGAGTTGAAGTCTACGGGTCGTAAAGGAGCCAAGGTTGCCTACCCCTGGTCTAGGAGGCTCACCGCTTAGAACAGGAGGACTTAGGCCATAGGTAGGCAACCTTGGCTCTTTTATGACGCGTGGACTTCAACTCCCAGAA